GCACAGCTAAAAAGACCTGTAAGCAAGGCCTGGAATAGCAGAGGAGAGTCTGGCATCGCTGCACCTTGCTTACTGCCAGCTTTTAATGCACTTCGGAAATCTGCTTTCTCCCAGCTGCTGGTAGAACAATTATGGTACTGTGGTTGCTATGAGATGTGTTTGATTTCTCCCCAACCCCCTTCTGAAGCCACAGTTCTGTGCAGGGGCAGGCAAGTCTGGGGAAAAGCTATAAAATTGTCTCCAGCTGCAGAAATGGCAGCCAGGATAGCAAAGCTTTCCCTCCCCCCTCCGCCCACTCACAACACACACAACTCACACAACTTTTCTCCTGTCATCCTGGAGCATCCTACAGGCAGCCAGGAAGCCAAATTTGCTAGGACTGCAGCCAGCAGGAAGTGGGAGATTGGGAGATTAGAATATAACACCAAGATTTAAAGGCCGTCCATTAAAATCTAATCTCGGCCGGGATAATAACAATAAAGGCATACAGAGACATTATAGGGAGGGCATCGGGAACGGGGAATTAAAGGGAAAGCGTCAGGGAAAATATGACAGATGTATAAAACGAAATCGCTGGGAAGAGGAGGAATGACAACAAGGGGAAATGATTGAAAGATGTAAAGGGAAAGAAAAACAATGACAGGAAATATATCAAATAAAAATAGAAGAATGTCAGGAAGGAAGAGAGAAAACAAACAGGAAAGACTGGGACAGATATAAAATGAAGGAATATTATTGGGCCTACACTGGATTTACATAAATACTGGATCCTGGCTCTATCCCTATTTTCATACCCACATGTGGGCTGCCCATAGACCTTAAAGGTTGCGTTCACCTTTTGAAAAATATAATTAATGCACAATTTTTCTGAAGATAAAAAAAATGCATTTATTATTTTTTTTTCGAAGGAGCCTGCAGATCATTGCACCCACAATCTGTAGATTGTGGGTGCAATGTCAGGCTCCTGCAGACTCTAAGGACAGCTGTCTGCCCGAACCGTGGTTACTTGAGAGCAGGAAGATCAATGAATTACGAGAGCACTCACCAGCACCCTCATAGTTCATCAAGAACTGCTTTTAGATTGTAAGCTTCCAGGATCAGGCCCTCCTAACCCTCTTGTATTGAACTGTATTGTTTTGCTGTATTGTCTCCCGTTATATTGTAAAGCGCTGAGCAAACTGTTGGTGCTATATAAATCCTGTATAATAATAATACTAGCCATCTGCCGCAATGGCTGACGGTACTTGTACTTTAGTCATTCACAGGAAAATGAATGAATGACACAGCCGTGTGTTTTCAAATTATGATAGTGGGTGGGGAGAAGATCCCCTGCCTGCTGTCACAGGGAGGGGGTGAGGGGGTGCATGTTGGACATGTTACACCCTAAATACGGGTGTAACATGTTCAGAAAGGTGAACGTAGCCTTTAAAGGAGACATTCACCTTTAAATAAATATATTGAATGCACATCTTTTTGCAGGTAAAAATAATAGCATTTATTATTTTTTTCAATTGGAGCCTAGAAAGTATTGCACCCGCGATCTGCTGATCAGTCTCCTGCCAACGTGTCAGTGTATCTGTGTGCTCGTACCTCATACAGGCAGGAAGATACACACTGACAGAATCAATGAACTATCACAGAGCTCCACAGCACCATGGTAGTTCATTGATAACTACAAGCCCACAGCCACAAAGACTGTTGGTACTTGAAGTTTTCCATTCACAGAATTCTGTGAATGAATGATGCGGCCGGGAAGGCTGAGCCCCGCACAATTGTGTTTTGTTTTCTTTTTTAAACAGTGACAGTTAGCAAAGAGAGTGGCCCCAGCAGTGGGAACACGTTACATGTTCCACCGGTGGAACATGTAGCATGTTCCCAAACGTGATCTTTTAAAGTTGATAAAAAAAGTATACAATGACTGCAAAAAAATATATTTAAATGTATTTTTTCAATATATATGATGCAAGTAACTGAATTTGAGGTGGTGTAGGCCATTGTAATCATCTATGTAGCAAGACTGGTAGAGGGAGTGTGGCAGCACTTGGAAGCAGTTGTCTGGCATGTACTTGTGCTCACAAGGACCATGCTGATAAGGAGGAGAGGGTGGTCTGTTGCTGCTTCTCTACTGTCCAATCACAGGCTGGGGGCTGGAAGATGACCAAGCTACAGTGTTTAACTGCAGAAGGGAAAGGACTGGTCAGCAGGCTGGCTGTGTAAATCTCTGGACTGGATAAACAGAAATATAAACCTTTTGGTAAGTAAAACAGTTCCCATACAAATATATCAGTGGTGTAATTAGCTATTTGCTGGGAGTTCATTTTTAAGGGCTGAAGGGCAATCTGTGTTCGGATTGCTCTTCAGAGAGCAAGACAAGAGGTGTTGTATCACCTCCTCACTGCCTGTTTGCCCCCTTGCACCCAGCACTAGCGTGCTGCAACTGTATGCATTGCATGTAATTGCAGGGTGCCCATATTCAGTTGAATAGGCTGTATTCAGTGGGCGCTACTGCACACCAAACGTGACGGGATAGAATAGTTTTGTTTTGTGGCTGTTGCATGTGAACACACCTGGCCGCTGCCTTTGCAGCCAAGTGGGAGTGGTTTAGGGGCAGCTTAACTGTGGCTCAGCCCTTAGAAACATCAAATGTAGCAGTGTGAGATCAGCGGTCATGTCACTTGGTGGTCTGTCACGTCTCATAGACTTCACATCTCTGCTTTGCAGTAACATGTGCAACACACAGAAACGCACCGTTTATGCATTAACGTGCTGACGTTTAATTTGAAAACTAAATGCACTTAAGGAACGCACCTCCAAAAAGCCTGCATTGCAGTGCACAGCTAGGCATGGTAAGACACTACACTGCATTGGAATAAACAGTACAGGTACATTGACAGCCCATTCAAATAAAGGTGCTGCCTTAAACATTAACGTACGACACAATGCATCGCTAGTCAGGGGCCACCATTTTAACCCTTGGTGCCCCATTAAAAGTTCTGAATGTCAGGGGAGGGGGTGGGGGGGTAGGAAGGATCAGTGATTATGTGAGCACTGGTCCTTCTGGCTTCTGATTCTGACATTGGCCATCCAGTAATGCAAATGTATGGCATATGGGGGCGTTAAAGCCCACCCTTCTGCCACCATACATGTGTGTTATGCAGGTAACAACAGGAACTCCAACCAAAATAATCACTTTGTACTTTTTTGTATTGCAATGCCTGCTATAATCAGTGCAAAGAATTGTGTAATTTGCAATGATTGTAATACGTGTGGATGCAAAGAGGAGCCATTCCATGACTTTTGTCTGAGACAGGCATCATTTTCTGTTACTGACCCAAAACCTTTAAAACACTACAAAAACATAGACCGGGGTAAATAGGTGATCGCTATATATGACTGATTTTTTTTTACTTTATCTGGCGTTGCGATCACAGATCTGCCAAGTGTACAGCATGACGGTACAGTGGGATCTAGACAGAAAAGCTGTGAAGATCTACAACACATACATAGGTACAACTGTCCATTATTATGTGTCCAAACTCCTCAGCTCTTCTCAGTGCTTTAACACCATGACATGCGGTTATTAAGAACTTCACTTGAAGGGTTAAACTACACACTGCTCATTTGTCACCATCCATAGGTTCCCTTACATGGGTGGTCTGGTTTACTTAATAGTGACCTGTGAGTGGATGGCTCAGCCTCTGGGCAGCTAGACTACATTCTACTCTCTACACTGCACAGTACTAGCACGTGGGAGTACAGTTGCACCACGATTGCATTCATTTGGCTTTTGTCATGTCAGACATCTCAGTGACTCCACCACAAGTCACGCTCATCCCAGACACAAATAATCAGGAACCTAGATACCACATGTAGCTTTATTAAAGGGCCTTTTCACTTCCAGACTACACAATTTTTCTAGTTTTGAGTGAAAAGAGTATGAGCTATAACCAGTATGAAATAATTATTGATGCCTCCATCCTAGTTGGGGAGATCCACATTCTGGCCTGGTGACCACACTCACCGAGACAGAAAATAGGAAGAATTTAAAAAATGTTACAGCAATCACCAAAACAGTAGCAGCGGAAAATTCTCCCAATGAGGACACCATCTTCAGTTGCAACTGTCAAAGGTGGGATTACCCTCATTTTTGGGAGACACATTCTTATTTTCTGTTGTGTCACTAGAACAGGACAGGAGCAGAAATTCCCAAATGGTGATGCAGACAGGAGTAAATACCTGACACAGATTTAACCCTTTCCTACTCTATGTGAAATTAGAAGGAAAGTTTTTGTTGGGGTTTCAGGTTAATCATAAAAATGTCTTTAGACTAAAGAAGACACTGGAGGTCAATTGTGCTTTAGGTAGGCAATTGGTTGTGCTGGATTGTCATGTCTGATCTTTGCAGATAGAAGATGAGGTGAAAATGCCTTCTTACTGCAAAGGTGTGCTAGATCGTCCTTAGATTACATGAATGTACCTGTACATGAGAGAACTCTCACCATCAGCTGTTGCCTGAACAATCTGTCAAGAATCTGATGTTGATACCAAATTTAGGAGCATTTCACGAAAGAAGAATATTTCCAGAAAAGCTCATTAGATCCATTAAGGAATATTTCTAATAAACGTTGATTTTCACACACTCATGCCACCATCTCAGTGAGTCTGATACAAGTGATCATCCTGTTACCTGGTAGGTGGGAAGGGCTTACACAATTCCCTATGTTGTGTTGCATTCCATCAATAATAGAAAGTTAGCCTGACGTGTCCTTGTTTCTTGGCCACCAAATCCCCTAACCATCTTATAAAAGAGTTAACAATTTAGGAAACCTCCTGACCCATTTTGTGCATATGAATAAGGTTAGGATACAGAAAAAGCAAATTCTGCTTTGGGCAAAATATTTTGGGTGTTGTCAAGGATTCTGCCTTTCATACAATATACAGAATAGCATTATAATTCTACGTCAGCAAACACCAGTGTTAGAACCAGATAAATGACATACCTGTGGGCCATCCTCTGGAACCTCCGCTTCTCCATGGGATGTGGGAAAACCTGTTGACAGCGCAAAGACAAATCAGTGAACTATTCTTACTCCTTCATTTATGATATATGCATAAAACCAATAAACTGCTAATCTACTGGCCTCTGCAAATGTAAATAGCATCATTTGTTTGCTGGAAAACAACTTAGAACCCCCAAACAAAAAGCAGAGACCCAAGAGAATAAAATGGTGGATACTGCAAAGTTTTATGTCACACGATATTTGCGCAGTGATTTTTCAAATGCAATATTTTGGAGAAAAAATACAATTTAATGAGTTTTAATATGCAAAAACACAATATAATACCCAATGATGATGTTACGCTGAGTAAATAGATATGTAACATGTCATGCTTTAAAAGTATGTACGCCCATGGAACGGTGCCAAAACAACGGTACCTAAAGATCTCCATAGGCGACGATATGAAATCTCTACAGGTTACCAGTTTAAAGTTACACAGGAGGTCTAGTGCTAGAATTATTGCTCTTGCTATACCATTCACGGCGATACAGCATATGTGTAGTGCACACACCATTAACAGATGCGTTCGCGACCTACGAATGCGCTCGCCTCTGCGGGTGAGCATAGGGGTGCTTTTTAAATCATATTTTTCATTTTTTTTTTTTAAATCTTTACACTGTTTACTTCATTTTTTTATTTTGATCACTTTTATTGCTGTCACAGGGAATGTAAACATCCCTTGTGACAGCATTAGGCAGTGACAAGTACTCTTTATGGAGAGATCTGGGCTCTATTAAACTCCAGATGTCTCCTCTGCCCTACAAGCATCTGATCACATCAAGATTGGTGTGATCAGATGCTTTCTTTCACAATTTAAAAATGGTGCTGTTTACATCTGGGAAACTGGAAGTGGCGAAAATGCTTGATGCTTCCAGTTTCCTATACCATTGACATCATCAGGAAACCCACTTCCGCTGCCTGTAAATGCAATCCATCCAATTAGTTGTTAGGATTGCTTTTACAAAAAAGATTTGCAGGCTGCAAAGAAAGATACCAGGATGATGCCTGCGGCTGTAGGCATCATCCCGGTATAACCACTGAAAGTCCAGGACGTCCATGGACATCCTTTGGTGGGTAGTGGTTAAAGTATATGTACATAAAATTGATAAAATACTTTCTAAGCATTAACATGTTAATGTTGTCTCAAAAGTAATTTAGATATTTTTTTGAGTGAGTGACAATGTTTGGTCTCCCAATTGTTCTTATGTGGTATCACCCCACGGGCTTCAGGTCAAATCTATTAGGGCTTTTGAAAAACTTTCCTGAATGCTGGAAACTGACTGCTAGAAAATGTAGGTTAATAATGTCAGTTTAGACGCGTTTACCTACCGCGTTTATGCACGTTTAGAAGCGTTTTAAAAGATAACCTCAGGAGACCCTCCCAAATACCCAGAATGCACTGAAATATGTATTTATTATTACAGGTACTTGTATAGCACCATTAATTTACGCAGCGCTTTACATATATATTGTACATTCACATCAGTCCCAGCCCTCAAGGGGTGTACAATCTAAGGTACCTAACTTACAATCATACATACACATACTAGGGCCAATTTAGACAGGAGCCAATTCACCTACCAGCATGTCTTTGGAGTGTGGGAGGAAACCGGAGTACCCGGAAGAAACCCACGCAGGCAAAGGGAGAACATGCAAACTCCAGGCAGGTGGTGCCGTGGTTGGGAAATAAGTAAATAATTAACTATTTCAGACATTTTGTGAGAAATGGAGCAGAAGTAGAGAGAGCACTATTTTCTGATGGGTGTTGCCACTGTAGCAAAAGTGGCTCATGAAACATGCTTGGCACTGTGGGAGGAGCTACATAGTGCTGTAATGCCTCCGGATGCATTCTGGGGTGCACACAACACTCCTTGTGCTTTTTTGCTGTGTTTTGATGTGTTTCAGTACAGTTCTGTGCAGAAATAATGCAGCATGTTCTACCAGTTTTACCTGCACACGAAACCTGGAACTGACTGCACTGGTGTACTAGGTCCATTTGAATACATGGAAAACGCTGTGCGTGCATTTTTGATGAAGAAAAAAAGGCACTGGACAGCATCTGGATATGGACCAGCCCAAAAACGCATCTAAACGCAAGCGTGCATAAATGCGTTTACACGCGGTTAAAAGCATTTGGCGTTTGAAACGCTGGTAAACTCTACTCCTGAACACGATTTTTGTGCTTTCAAAAAAAATGCCTGTAACATCAACTGCCTGTAAACGACATATGTGTACATGGACATAAAGGAAAACATAAAGGAGAGCTCAGGGGCTGCTGAGAAAAGCGCACAACTACTCCTAAACTTCAGTTTAGCAGCTGCAGTGTACATGAGCCCTTAGTTATTTCTACACACATTACACAGGCACATGGTTCACTGTTGTCACCATCTGGTAACCTGTCCCAACAAATGTCATACAGCGATCACTGGAGTGCTTCAGTAAATTGCTGGGATATTGGCAGCAACAAAGGCTGAAAATAAAATAAATTAACATTGACAATTGTTTATGGTATGCCGTGGTTTAACAAGTCCTGGTTCACACTGAATACGACTTTGAAATCATGCGACTTCACTTGAATTTGAATGATTTCAAAATCGCATGTCAATGAAACCTGAAAGACATTTGTGCAACTTCATGCACAGAAGTTAATGCAAGTGGCACTTGAAATCGCAAACAATAGTGCAGGAAATTTTTTTTCAAATCAGTGCAGCACCGCAAAATCAGAGTCACACCGATTTGAATGGTTCCATTGCCGACAATAGCGTGTGAATTGTCATGCGACTTGAAACTTCAACAATGAGTGCAGGGCTTTATATACTATATATTTGTGTCAGTCCTGCTGTCAAGGAGCTTATAGTCTGGGGCCCCATCTCACATGCATACAATAAAATGCTAGGGATATTTAAGACAGGAACCAACTAACTTACCAGCATGTCTTTCAAGTGTGGGATGAAACTGGTGCGCCTGAAAGAAACCCATGCAGGCACAAGGGGAACATGCAAACTCCAAACAGACAGAGTCCTGGCTGGAATTCAAACCAAGGACCCCAGTGCTACAAGGCAGACAAGCCTTCCACTAAGCCATTGTGCTTGCCCCCCTGTCATAATGGGGAAAACACCATGCCAAGCCTTTCCTAGGTGGTAATGTATTACACTTGCTTACTCACTGTGGGCATGGAAAAAACATGAACTATTAAAGCTGGTTTAAGAGGAAAACTTGTATTCACCAAGAAATATATTCTGCATTTTTACTACCTACACAATATTTTCCATTGACATGGATCAATTGTTAAATTCTAAATCCAGGGTTCTTGTGACTTTAAATAGTTTGTTTCGACCAAGCTGGTCCAAACAATTTACTTCACTAACAGATGCGCCTGTTTGGAGAGCTGGGTAAACTGTATGTGGCATCAGCCCATCCCATTTTCAGCAGAGGAGGTCATAAATAGAGGCCAACACATTTTTCAGTTGATGCCAGTCACAGGATCACTAGTAAAAAATGGCCCTTGGACAACCATGTGGCATTACACTACTCAGAAATGGAAACCTTGTTCCATACAGTTATAAGGGGCACTGCCCATACCCATACAATATGGAGGATTTACTTTTGACAATGCCTAGTAGCTGAGAGGACTCTTCTGTAAGACTACAACGATTTTCTAAGGATTCTCTGCTCCTGTCCTTACTCAAATTTTCTTCTTCCTGAACATATTTCAAATTTCGAGGGGTGTGCAAAGAATGATGGTAACTTAACATGATGTATTACAAGCAAATACAGTGCTCTGCAAAAATGAGTAAACCCCAACAGAATTGTCAGAAAACCTTTACTTTCCTTTCAGAATCAACATACTACAAAATACAAGTGCGGGCCATTGATTGCAAACAAGATTAGTTAATTTGCACACACAAAAAAGTATTTTTCCTAACAAATGTATTCAAGACCATGTTGCAAAAATAAATATACCCCAATAAAAGTCTTAGGAGCAAAGCTAAATTGTAGACAACAAAATCCTAATTAACAAGAATTCAACTACAGGTGAGTCTATTTATTCATTAAACCGTCACGGCGGTCACATGATCAGAAAGGTCCTGATCGAAAGGGGAGATCGAGACCTTTCCATGAGTCATGGACATATGTGCTGGGAGCGCGCATGCCGCGCACTCTCACCACATATGTATTTTCTAATTGCATGCAAATGTGCGGCCGCTTGGCGTCAAGGCCCAGATGCCGATAGGCCACATATTTGCATGCGCTTGGCGTCAAGGGGTTAAGAGTAAATCTGTCCCTTGCTCATTCAGGGTCATTTAGTAGGTTCACTTTAATTCACTGCCCCTCCCCAGCATATACCAAAGCTGGTCATACACTGGTATATCTTCAGATAAATGTTTATATGAAAAATCATGTCGTTACGTTTGACAATGCCTACAGATCTCTGACAAATGTCATTTGAAAGTACTTAAATATTTTGTTTGTGTTTAACATTAGATTTTGGAATTAATGGAATTTCCCAAATGAAAGGTTTGCTCCTTCAAATTTTCTTGTCACTACGGTTAAAAACGGTCATCGAATGAACCCCACTAACAATTAGAAAATGAAAGCAACATTCTGAAAATCGGAGGCTTTTAGGTTTTCTTGACGTATTTCTACACTATACATTTACAACTAATTTCACATTCATCCCTGACCCAGCCTATTAGAGCCCCAATATGGTTTGGCTCTGGAGATGATCTGCACAATAGTCCTTTGGTTTCCCCTAGATGGTGAGATATTGAAACCATGAAATTGAAGGCTCTATGCACACCGGGCATTTTAATAACGGTGGTAACGTTAGCTGTGTAAAGTAACGTTAAACTGTGAGTTTTTCAGTGTTTGTTTAGCCTATTTGTATTAGCGTTTAGCTGAATTTTTTCACGTTTGTGTTTTTTAGGGGTTTTTTTCTTCCAAAAAAAAAATTTTTTTGTAGTAAAAAAAAAAGTCCAAAAACGCTGGTTTGCCACTATTTGCCACGTTTTTCAGCGTTTAGAGCGTTTTTACAGCTCTAGAAACCCACTAGTTCTGTTTTTTTTTCTAGCCCAAAAACGCCCCTGCCAAAAAACACTGATTACAGTCTATGGTGTCCGTTTATGAACCAGCGGTAATAGATCGCTGCTCAGTTCTCCGGCATTCTCGGAGAACACAGTTCTCCTCTGAATGCAGTTTATGAAGCAGTTCTCCAAACGAAGGGAGAATGGTCTCCAAACGCTGGAGAACGGTCTACAAACTCTGGAAAACGGCTGATTTTACTATAATCTCTCGAGATTACAGTAAAAGATCAGTTTACTAAGCAGAGGTAAATTATCTCTGCTTAGTTTGCGGTCCCTCCGATTCTCCAGCTCTGGGCTGGAGAATCTGGAGGGAGAACACAGATCTCCAGTGAAGGGCTGACATGATCTCCTGAGTGTCATAAACTGTGAATGACCAAAGAATAGCTGAGATCCGTTTAATCGTAGCTATTCTCTGTGTCATAAACGGACACCTATGTGTGCATGGACACATAGGATAACATGCTGGGGAGTTTACTGGCTGTAGAAAAAACCATCAAAAGCCAAAAACGGCAGCTGTAAAAAACGTCCACTGTGCATGAGGAGGAAGACATAACAGTGACGAGGAGGGGAAAAGCAAGCCAAACTACTACAGCTGGTTTTTGGTTGTAGTTGATTTAAATACCTGTCTGCTGAGTTTGAATAAATGCCACAACCTAGTCAAATCTTTGTCAACACAGAATAAGTTGTAAGTGTGGATAGTAAATAGGGGTCACTGTAGTAATTATTAGCCAGGATTTTTATACCACCAACAGTTTGCTCAATACTTTACAAAACAAAGGGAGACAGTACAGTTACAATACAATTCAAGACACGAGGGTTAGGAGAGCCTGTTTCCTGAGAGTCTATAGGGATAGGGCAAGTGATACAAAAGGTAATAACCGTGCGGGGATGTTTGAGAATTTAAATTTCAGTGGTTAGGTTGAGGCTGGAGAGACTTCCCTAAAGAGATGGGTTTTCAGGGATCACCTACAGGCAGACAGTCAGAAGATAGCTGGACAGATTGGAGTAGGGAGTTCCAGCGGAAGGGAGAAGCTCTGGAGCTGTCCTGGAGGAGAACATGGGAGGAGATGAGAAGGGTGCTACAGAGCAGGAGGCCTTGGGAAGAGTAAAGTTGATGGATTTGGTAATATTTTGAGACAAGGTTGGTGATGTTGTATCACTGATGTAACCAGCACTTGTTTCTCTAAACTCACAGCTGAGCATACTGTAATACTATGGTAACAAGGTATCATCCTGGCAGCATGGTATTACTACGGCAACATGGAATCACTGTGTTCATACAGCATGGCCTCCTTCTGGTAACTCTACCTCACACTGTTCATACCGTGTCACTCTATAGCAACATGACGTCATTGGTTGGACACAAATCTATGTTAATGTGACATCAGTCTGGTAACTCAGAATCACTATGGTGACATGACATAAAAGCCTGCATGGCATCACTATGGTAACAAGGCTTTACTCTGAAAGGGCTCATGTATGCGGGGTGTTTGGAAAACTCTTCTGAACAATGGAAACTGACTGCTGGAAAATGTAGGTTAAAAAAACGTCAGTTTAGCCGCGTTTGCATTTAGAAGCATCTTTAAAAGATAACCTCAGGAGACCTTCCCAAATGCCCAGAATGCATTGAAAAATAGTAAAAAATTTACTATTTCAATCATTTTGAGAGAAATAGAGAGAGCAGAAGCAGAGAGAGCAGTATGTGTTGAGACGACCTGTCTTTTCTGGTTGTATTCACTATGGATCCCATCATGAGCATAATGCAGCACGTTCTATTACTTTTTCCTTCATGCGAAACCTGGAACTGCCCTGGTGTACCGGGTCCATTTGAATACATGGAAAACACTTAGCATGCATTTCTGATGGTGAAAAAAGGCTCTGGACAGCATCTGGACATGGAACAGTTAAAAACCGCTTCTAATCGCAAACGCTTATAAACGTGGTTAACCGCATTTACAAGCATTTGAAACGCTGGTAAAATCTACTCCTGAACGCAAGTTTTTTGATGTGTTAAAAAAATGACTGTAAACTCAATTGCCTGTAAACGACTGTAAACAACTATGTGTACATGGACACATGGGAAAACATTAGGGAGAGTTCAGAGCTGCTTAAAAAAAAAACGCTGAACAGCTCCTGAACCTGAGTTTAGGAGCTGCAGTGTACATGAGCCCTAACACTAGTAACATGGCACTATGAAACTACACGGTGCCAGCAGTACATCTAGAAAAACAGACTCCACATTAGGTTCTACCCAAAGAGCTTCTAAACTCAATCCTGCTCACTCTGGATATTTAAACATGGTAGAAAACATTATAAACATGGAAAGCACACAAGGAATAATAGAAGGCCAAATGTAAATAAAGCAACTAGCACAATTTTCCCTATAACTTTACATAAAAATACATTTAAATAAAAAAGAATATAAAAATTTAAAATTCATTTTTGGAAAAAAAAGAGGGTAGAAGGGGTTTTGTGGCACCAAACTAAAGACAAAAAAAAAAAAATATATATATATAAAAACGATTGCAAAACTGTTATTGACATCATAAGTTAAAAAAACACCCTGTGGGTTACATGGACACAATGAATGTGTATAACACAAAATTAAAAACACATTATAAACCACAAATAAATAATACTCTTCAGTATTCCCCAGAAGGGGTGCATAGTACATATGTGAACCCCAACGTGTTTACATGTCAATAAAGGTTTTTTTCAGTCTTTTTTATATATATCTTTTTATATCTTCAGTTGGGTGCGACAAAGTCCCTTTTCCCCTCTTCTTTCCAAAAATTAATTTTAAATTATGATTTTGGGATGTGGCCCATTGAGTTGTGTTGGGTCTGGTAGAAGTATATACCAGGATATAACATAAGTATCACATAATTTATTATTAGATCGGGCTATGGTGTCTCAAGACATCATCACTACATGGCACCGCCATGAAGGAGGTACAGAGGCTGCTATTGCTGGTCTCCTGCAGAAAATGCTAGTTGTCTGACAGTGTCTGAATCAAGTAATTCTGAATCACAAAGACCCGGAACAAGTATGATGTAACCGAGTGTCAGAATTGGTATACTCCTGGGTCAGTGACTCAAAGTGTTGAAGTCAACACTTCAGTATGACATTCAGGGAATTATTCTAAAAATGAGAGTTCAGCAATGGCATTCTTCACAATTCATATATAACAAATCCCTTTAAAGCAACAAGACAATACCTTGAGCGAGATCTTCAAGGGCACGGCGTATACCCCTATCAAAAGCTCGAGCATCTGCAGGACTCTGGAATGTGAGGCCAAACTTCTTATCGCCAATCCTCCAATGGTGGAAAGTAGGGGTGACTTTATTATAGACCAGTTCCTTCTTTAGCACACACTCCAGCACAACCTAGGGGAAAAAACTGCTGATTAGACTCAGTTATAAGCAGAAGTAATGTGCAACCTTATGTGCATACCACAAACCAAGTTTGCCTTTCCTGATTTATCCCTTATATGCTTCAGGCTCTTCAGGTTTGGACTAAGGCAGAGGCATCTACTTTGGGCGCAGTGGTAGAGATGATAGCTGCACTTTGACACCTTAACCTTGGGTGCCAGAGGACCGTGTCCCAGCACTGTGGCCCTGTATGCACATTGGTCTGTTCACTGCAAGAGTTTCTGGGGGTGAACAAAGGTGACATTTTAGTAGGAACATACCTCCATTCCCATGACTGTCTCCCAGCCTACATCCTTTTACAAGAATGCACAGTGTTCCAATGACTGCAGTACTACATAATGGTTGTGCTTTTCTGCTTGTCCATCTCTTAACAGTGGTTAAGCAGGGAAGGCAAGTAAAATACAGAGATTCTTTTGTGGGTAATCTGCAAACCTCTGTACAGTGGAAGTGTAAGGGGTGCTTGAGTGTGTTATAGGACCCCAAAAATTTAATCAAGCACCCCCTACATGGTCCAGCACTCATAATTATGCTTAGCTAGGAGTGATCTTGTGCCTGATAAATTTTTGTTCTCGCACCTGCAAAGAAGAGGGGGAGCTTTGCTGAAGTGAGTTCTCAGGTAAATCAAACCAATGAACACCAATGCTGGGGGTTGCTGGTGGGGGTTATCATTATAGCTGGAGGTTGGAATTGACTTATTATTGCTTGCCATGACACATCTTCAGGATTGTCATAGCTGACCCTGACACTTGCTGGCGGTGTCATGGCTGGTCCTTACCTTTGTTGGGGGTTGTCACTGCTGGTCCTGACCTATGTTGGGGGTTGTCACTGCTGGTCCTGACCTATCTTGGGAGGTGTCACGGCTGGTCCTGACCCATGTTGGGTGGTGCCACGGCTGGTCCTGACCCATGTTGGGGGTTGTCACAGTTGGTCCTGACCTATGTTGGGTGTTGACACTTGAAAGGGATTATTGCTGGCCATGACATCAATGCCGGAGACTATTAATGCTGCCACTGACACAAACTATGGGATTTATTTTACCCCCACAATCTCTTTATCAAACCCCCAGTCTCTATGTGGTCTATACCACGGCAAAGCAAAGGGGGAAAGGTGGTACACTACAAGCCATACCCTGTGAAGCAACACCCTCTATATTGAAGGTATGTGTCCTTTATACATGCACACTTTTTTACCACCATTAACACATGGTAGGTGGCATGCTAAGTGCACCACATTTTTCAATCCCTTCAAGGTGGGCAGCATGTGTCCCATGTAACACACTACATTTTTTTTCTTAATCCCCTCAAGGTGTTGCTCCCAATTATTTTCAAATGTTGGCAACTTATCAGCAAAGTAGAGGATTGTTACATACTTCTGAACACTGTACTCTCTATACTTCATTGTGCTAAAGAGTGTCAGTCTGTATCCCCTTCACACTGTGAATGGTTTCTATATTGTATAACATTGCTTTTTTTTGCATTTCCTGGTAAGCATTTCTCATTATGGTATGTATGTTTCCATTATGACACAGGATTCAGAATACAGGACTTGCTGTAGCTCCCCCAATAATACTCCCAACACCACCTAAAATTTGTGTGGAGCAGCCCCTGTGTCTATATCTAATCCAAAACAAATGGAAGGACATTCAAAAATCAAAGCAAAAAGTAATTTGATTTTAATGCTTCAATAATTCTTCAAGTTGTGCTCACTGAAAATGCATTATAGATTGCTTTTGAAGGTATGTGTCCTTTATACAAATGCTATATGTTCGATGTCAGCCTTGATAAAATAAACACCATGAGAGGGCGGGTGCAAATGTTAGGACATTAGGCGTTAAAATAAAATACTGTATTACGAACTTTCACAAGTCAGAAGAAGAAATGATATTTAGAGGAACTACATAGTTGCTCTTCATGGGGATGGCCATTCAATCCATAATAATCCAAACCAAGGAGCACTATCGCTGAGCGTGCAGAATAAAGCACAGAAATAGACGATTTTGGCAAAGAAAGGGTGTCAGAGATTGCGACAGATAACACAAGTGAGGAACCCCATACCGGATAGATGGATTTTGAATACAAAAGCCTTCCCTCAGTCAAAGGGCCTGTGTAAGCTATTGCTGCTGGGGCAACATTTGAAGAGGACACCCCATGGGCGAGTGTCCATGTCCAGTACTCAGTGTAAGCCATTACGGCTAAGGAAGCATTTAAGAAAGACAAACAGGAAATATGTGTAGGCCTGAATCAGAATGTCATCTGGTGACAGTAAGTCACAGCCTGAAGACAAAGGTAGTCTGTGGGTGAGAGCCTGAGCAAGAGGCTTGGAGAACCAGTCCAGCAGGAAGGCTGGGACTAGAGCAGGGTTGTCTGGATAAAAGAGCAGAATGTGAAGGCTGGAAGATCTTTGTTAAATGCTGAATAACTCCTGAATTGGGTAGAACATTCTGTTATTCTACATAATAGTAGGCTGGTGGACTTATCCTTTAAGTCCTCATGCACACTGGACGTTTTTAAAGCTGCTGTTTTTGGCTTTTGATGTTTTTTCTACAGCCAGTAAACTCCCCAGCATGTTATCCTATGTGTCCATGCACGCATAGACTGTAATCGATGGTTTTTGGCAGGGGCGTTTTATGGCTGCAAAAAAACCCGTAACTAGTGGTTTCTAGAGTTTTTTAGCTGTAAAAATGCTCTAACGCTGAAAAACGCGGTAAATTGCAGTAACTCATAGCAAACCGGCGGTTTTGGAAGTTTGAGCAAAAAAAACCCGCAAAGAAACGCAAACTCAAAAAAAAGGTGCAAAACGCCAATGCAAAAACGCTGAAAAAACGCATGTTTTTAACATGACTTTACACAGCTAACGTTACCAGCGTTATTAAACCGCCCAGTGTGCATGGAGTCTAAATGAGAGATGTTTATGTTTGATGAATTAGATCTTTAATTACTTAATTGGTTCAGGTATACTTTGTTTTAACAAATAAAATCCTCTCCAATCTAGACTGATATGGATACTAATTAATATATTGTAGGTATTTGATGTTCACTTAACTGAAGGTTTTTACCTTAATGCATTCTTTGCATACTCTGTCAGATCCCCCCAGGCTCCCCTAAATACTTACCTGAATCCCATCTGGATCCAGCGCTGTGCCCGAGAACAGCAACACTGCTGTCTCTCTCCCTCCTCACTGGATTCAATGGGAGCAGAGGAAACTATTGGTGGATCCTGCTGTCAATCAAATCCAGTGATGAGAGGGCAGGGGGTGGAGCCGAACCACTCTGTAAGTGTCAATGGACTCACAGAACGTGGCTCAGGATCGAGCCTGCACATGTGCCACCATAGGAAGCGGCTTCCTATGGGGGCACATGGAGAAGAGAAAGAGCCCAAAGCCCTGGAGGGTGACCCCAGAAGAGGAGGATCGAGCAATGGTTTTGCACAGAGTAGGTTAGACATGTTTGTTATTTTTTGGTGGAAAAAACTTTTCTCTCAGTTTATTGCACTTTTTCACTAATATAATGTACTCTACAATATTTTTTGATAGATCCTTTTCTACAATTAAAAACACAAAAAAAGAAAAGCAAAAGAAAACTAAAGTAAACCATTACAAATGACAGTTATTACTATGATGTGCAGGAAAACAGACACAAACACATCCTGTTGAACATGTTTGCAGATATACAGTATACTGAAATTATTACATCTTTTTGTTGTCAGTGGTTTGCTGTATACATCAACAGGATGCAATGTGAATTTATTCCTGTTTAATCGGGAGAGATCAGATGGGGGCATTGCTATGACTTCCTGCAGACTGGCTGGAGCCCAGAGCAGGAAGGTGACAGTAATAATGCAGGATGTGTGGAAGCAACATGAAGTCTGACCTGACACACTCTGGCCTCCTGCATAGATGATGCTGCAGATGGTCCCAAGAGGAGGACTCTTTACTTCTCTCTGAAAAAATCAATACCCCTCCAGCCTCCGGAGGTGACATTCCTCTCCTTAACACTGCAGTACAGCCAGTGAATGGTAAAGGACTCAGATTCACAAGACTCACACATTAAAGCTTTCCCATAATGTTATTTAAATGCTACAGCAAGCACATTATTTCCACAATCAGTGTCTTTATACTTTTCAGCAAGAAACCTTTAATTTTTCTTTACAGAGACTCTAGAAGGAAAACAACCCTCTACGCACCTTCAACTTGCACCCCTAAAGCTCCATCAGAACCCTCAAGAAATGCCTGGTGCTTCCAAGTATGCAGAAGCATATGCCAACTGCCAATTCCAAACATTGTCACGCGGGGTAGGGGTTGAAGTCAATAATTGTTTGTAAGCTGTTCCTCGAAGCTTACACAGGGTTTGGACTCTGGGCTGATGTTCTGCATCCTGAGAGGAGAACACACATACTACCCCATAGCCAGAAGCACCAAGTGATAGCTTTGCCATAACCCCCGATCGCTCCATGGCTTTGTGGGAACAGTCAAGAAAAAATCTGGTGCGAAGGTGGCTTCAAGAATTTTCAACGTTCAACGCAATTCCAGGAGTGTCAGTTTCCTGGTCCTGTGCGATGTGATTCCTTCTTATTTCTACGAATAGAAACGTGTGTCGATTGCATTATTAAAGTGACCCTAAAATAGAAGACCATTTACACTCACTCACAGGTGGCCTGAGTATTCTATTTTCCCTCCATTCTAGCACTGAGTCCTCTATAATTCCATGAGTGTCTGATGCTCCCCGAGTCCCCTCCACATGCCATGGTTTTATGCAGTGATGTAGGAGGGTTGGAGGTTAGAACCCAAATGCACGTCAGGGGGCAAGGGCATCTTACAACCTTGAACCTGCAGCACTAGAATGGAGTACAGGTGAGATATCTAAATCCAAAAATACTTTTTTTTTTCAACCAAGAATACAATTTTAATATATCACAGATTAGTAGTGCTTAGATGTGGTGACTGAAATGTATTTCTT